TAAATAAATATATTTAATTATCAGCAATTTGGTTTTATCTCTCTATAGAACCCTGTCAAACACACCCACAAAGCTCAGAAAATAAGGTCTTTCACCTTTAGCTCCGTCTGACCCCTGATGTCGATTTTGTAGCCTTCGTCCAAGCCAAGCAGGGTCTGCATGGTGTTTCGGCTGACGTGAATTCTGTAGGCTGAGAAGAAAGGTCACCGCCAAGTCACTGCGTGGTGCAGGGCCTGTCACACCCCCGGCGGGTGGCCAACCTGCCACGCACACGGAGCCTTCTGCTGCCCCCCTCGTGCCCCTCATGGGCAGTGGGCCACCAAAGCCGAGGCCCAGAGGGAAGCGGAGGACAGACATCGAGGGTTAGGGGAAGCCCTCGTAACGTTGTTTCTCTTGCAGGGACTTCTCTGAAGCCGGCTTCCCTTTCCTTTGCAGAACGGGCCACCCCACTAGGCCCCCACTAGGCCGCCACACCTGCGCCAAGCCGCATTAGAGAGTGAGCCAGGCAGGTAACTGGAAGTAGAAGCCCCAGGACCTCAACCGTTTGTTTCAGCTGCTTGGGGATGCTACCTGCAAGGCCAGCAGTTCGAAACCACCGGTCGGTCCACGGGAGAAAGATGAGACTTTCTACTCCCGTGAAGAGTTACAGCAGTAGAAACCCACAGGGGCAGTTCTGCCCTGTCCTAGGGGGTCTCTATGAGTCAGAATCAACTTGATGGCGAGAGAGAGACCCAGTTCATCAGAGAGGTTCCCGCTGCCAGCAGGGACCTAATGTGGTATTCACAATTTTTATAAAACAGATCTCTTTTTTTGGTGAACTACCGATGAGCCCCTTGTTTGAGGACATCAAGCAAGCCAGTGGTGGGGCCAAGGCTAGGACCCAGGTTTGCTCTCCCTCGAGTGTCCTCATCGCCTCTCTGCAGGCACCTCTGTGGAGAAGGAGCAGGAGGATGCCGGCCCCTCTCCCTGCGTGGCTTCATGGGGAAAGAGTTCGCTGCCACCAGCCGGGGGGTTGGTTCCTGAGCCTGGAGCCGTGTAGAAAGGGAAATACTCACGCAGCCCCGTGGACTCCATCCGGGATGCAGTGTTGACGGTGTCCCCAAAGAGGCAATACCTAGGCATGGTGAGGCCCACGACGCCTGCCACACATGGCCCTGAAACACACGTGTGCCCAGGAAGCTCAAGCTGGCCCTGCGCCAGGGGGAGGTCCACTGTCAGCCTTGTCCCTCCCCACTGCCACTACCATGCAGCACCCTACATCCTGGATTCCAGCTGGGGGTGGGGGAAGGGAGCTACAGAGTCTCCTGGGCACCTAATGAGATGGTGGCACCTGCCCCCAGCTCTAGGTTGGGAGTAGGGGACCCAGATGAAACCCATCCCTGCCCTTGGGGAGCTCAGCCTGGACATTGTGCTCACGGCTGTAAGGAGGGAAGCACCCTTCTGTGCCGGCCAGGAAGAGCCCCTGGCCCAGCCCAGAAGACTTCAGGAGGCAAGTCATGAGCTGCTTGGAGAAGGACAGGGAAATGAGTGGGCAGGGACCAGTCAGTGCAGGTACAGAGCCTGTGTGTCCCTGGGAAATGGTCAGGAGCGGGGACTGAGTATGGATGGAGAGCCAGAGAGGGGAAGGTGGAAGACAAGGTTGGAGAGGTTAGCGAGGAGGTGGGGGCTCTACCTGGGGAGCAGGGCTTTATCCTGCAGGTGAGGGGAACCACATAGGGAGAAGGGGGTGGAGTCAGGGCCTGGGAAGGCTATGTCAGAAACCCAGGGGCTTCCCCCAGACCCATCTCAGCAAACATCGATTTCTGTGTGTGATCGCAGATTTCCACCCTGCCTCTCTCATGGAATTATCAGCTCCTCAGCACAGACCTACATGCCTTTGACAGAGGCTGGGACAGAAAAAGGAGATTTGCATCTGAGCCTGGCAGAGTCTGTGACTGACAAGCTCCAGAACCTTCAGGTGACTCTATTTCTCTTTCTTTCTGTCAGAGTCTAGCTGTGCAGATTG